AGATCCGGCCACTGCACTCCAGTCTGGGAGACAGAGCGAGACTCCGTCTCAAAAAAAAAAAAAAAAAAAAGAAGGAAATGGGTCAGGCGTGGTGGCTCATACCAGTAATCCCAGTGCTTTGGGGGGCCAAGGTAGGATGATCACTTGAGGCCAGGAGTTCAAGACCAGCCTGTGCAACATAACAGTCCCTTGTCTCTACATTTTTTTTTTTTTAATTAGCCAGACTTGAGTTGGAAAGAAGGAAGGCGGGAGGGAAGAAAAAAGGGAGGGAGGGAAAAAAAATATGGCCACATGTGAGAAAACCCCATTAATGAAACGACCGCTGGATTTTCCAAATGATGGGATGTTAAGCAGCCGTGAAGAAATGATTGATTGACAAATATTTGTGGTATATTAAGTGAAAAATAGCATGATCCCAATGATCTCTACCTACTTTTTGCAAGGGATTGTTCTAGGTATCACTAAGAATGCTGTAAGGTGTGGTGTGCTACCTTAGACTATGAAGTCAAACAGATCTGAGTTCAGTTGGGCAGGTTTCTTAGACTCTCCACTCCTGACCCCTGTGTACTTAACAAATGTTGGCTGTTGCTATTTTTGTCACCATCACTTTCATCATCACTTCTGGGAGTAACCAAATTGGTTTTGGCACCAGAAGATACCTTGGGGGACCAATCAGATAGCTCCTCACTTTTTTATTTTATTTTATAAATTTTTAAATTAAATTAAATTAAATTTTTTGAGACCGTCTCACTCTGTTGCCCAGGCTGGAGTGCAGTGGTGCGATCACGGCTCACTGCAGCCTCTACCTCCCAGGCTCAAGCGAGCTTCCCTCCTTAGCCTACTAAGTAGCTAGGACTACAGGTGCATGCCACCACACCCAAATAATTTCTTGATTTTTTATAGAGACAAGGACTCACCACATTGTCCAGGCGGTTCTCAAACTCCTGGGCTCAGGCAATCCTCTGCCTCGGCCTCCCAGAGTGCTGGGATTACAGGCATGAGCTATGAGCCCGCCCAGCTCCTCACTTTTTGCAGGATGAGAGCCTGGGCTTCCTTTGATCCTGTGCAGCCAATTATACCTCCTCGGCTGTTGCAAGCTTAGATTCAAGAGATTGTATTTCCCTAGCATCCAACAGGCATTTCCAAATGTCATCTCTTCTTCCACTTCACTTTCTGTCATGCTCCCTTTAGTGGTTGTGGCCGGGGCTGGTGTTCTGATTGAGACTGATAAATTGTTTTTTTAATTTTTCCAGAGTAATTGCAATGACAGTCATTTATAGGTCGGACAGTCATGGGTCACTTAACAACTTGGGTACATTCTGAGAAGTGCATCATTAGACAGTTTTGTTGTGTGAACATCATACAGTGTACTTGCACAAACCTAGACGGTGTAGCCTAGTATACACCTAAGCTATGTGGTTTAGCCTATTACCCCAGGCTGTAAACCTGTACAGCATGTTACTGTACGGAGTACTGTAGGCAATCGTAACACAATGGTATTTGTATACAGGCATACCACAGAGTTAAGGCAGTTTTGGTTCCAGACTACCATAATAAAGTTAAAACCACAATAGAGCAAGTCATATGAATTTTTTTGTTTCCCAGTGCATATAAAAACTATGTTTATACTGTAGTCCATTAAGTGTGCGATAGCATTATGTCTAAAAAAATGTGCACAGATTAATTTTAAAATACTTGCTGAAAAATGCTGGCAATCATCAGAGCCTTCAGCAAGTCATAATCCTTTTGCAGGTGGAGCATCTTGCCTTGATATGGATGGCTGCTGACCGATCAGGGTAGTGGTTGCTGAGTTGCAGCGACTGTGGCAATTTCTTGAAATAAGATGACAATGAAGTTTGCTGCATCAATTAACTCTTCCTTTCACGACAGATTTCTCTGTAGCATGAGATGCTGTTTGGTAGCATTTTACCCACAGAAGAATTTCTTTCAAAATTAGAATCCTTTCAAACCCTGCTATGCTCTATCAACTAAGTTTATGTAATATTCTAAATCCTTTTTTGTCATTTCAACAATGTTCATAGCATCTTCACTGGAATAAATTCCATCTCAAGAAACCACTTTCTTTGCTCATTCATTAGAAACAACTCTTCATCTGTTCAAGTTTTATCATGAGATTGGAGCAATTCAGTTGCATCTTCAGGTTCTGCTTCTAATAATTCTAGTTATGTTGCTCTTTCCACCACATCTGCAGTTAACTTCCTCCACTGAAGTCTTGAACCCCTTAAAGTAATCTATGAGGGTTGGAATCAGCTTCTTCCAAGCTCCTGTTAATATTATGTTTTGACCTCCTCCTACGAATCACCAATGTTCTTAATGGCATTTTGAATGGTGAATCCTTTCTGGAGGTTTTCAATTTACCTTGCCCAGATCCATCAAAGAAATCACTATCTATGGCAGCTATAACTTTATGAAATATATTTCTTTATTTTATTTTATTTTACTTTATTTTTTAAGGTGGAGTCTCACTCTGTTGCCCCAGCTGAAGTGCAGCGGCATGATCTCAGATCACTGCTGCCTCCACCTCCCAGGTTCAAGTGATTCTCCTGCCTCAGCCTCCCAAGCAGTGCCACCACATCTGGCTAATTTTTGTTATTTTTTTTTTAGTAGAGTCAGGGTTTCACCATGTTGGCTAGACTGGTCTTGAACTCCTGACCTCAAATGATTTGCCTGCCTTGGCCTCCCAAAGTGCTGGGATTACAGGCATGAACCACTATGCCTGGCTTCCAAATATATTTCTTAAATAATAAGACTTGAAAGTCGAAATGACTCCTTGATCCATGGGCTGCAGAATGGATGTTGTGTTAGCAGGCACGAAAACAGCATTCATCTCCTTTTAAATTTCCATCAGAGCTCTTGGGGAACCAGGTACGTTGTCAATGAGAGGTAATATTTTGAGAGAAAACTTTTTATCCTGAGCAGTAGGTCTTAATACTGGGCTTAAAATATTCAGTAAACCATGCTGTAAACAGATGTGCTGTCCTCCAGGCTTTGTTGTTCCATTTGTAGAGCACAGGCAGATTAGATTTAGCATAATTCTTAAGAGCTCTCAAATTTTCAAAACGGTAATCCAGTGTTGGCTTCAACTTAAAGTCACCAGCTACATTAGCCCTTAACAAGAGTCAGCCTGTTCTTTGAAGCTTTGAAGCTAGCCATTGACTTCTCCTCTGTAGCTATGAAAGTCCTGGATGACATCTTAATAGAAGGTTGTTCCATCTACATTAAAAATCTGTTTTTTAGAGTAGCCACCTTCATCATTTTAGCTAGATTTTAGCTAGATCTTCTGGATAACTTGCTGCAGCTTTTACATCAGCATTTGCCGCTTCACCTTGCACTTTTATGTTATGGAGGTGACTTCTGTCTTTAAACCTTATGAACCAACCTCTGCTAACTTCCAACTTTTCTTTTTTTTTTTTTTTTGAAACAGAGTCTTGCTCTGTTGCCCAAGCTGGAATATAGTGGCACAATCTCGTCTCACTGCAACCTCTGCCTCCCAGGTTCAAGTGATTCTCCTGCCTCAGCCTCCTGGGTAGCTGGGATTACAGGAGTGTGCCATCACGCCTGGCTAATTTTTTTGTATTTTTAGTAGAGACGGGGTTTCACCATGTTGGTCAGGCTGGTCTCGAACTCCTGACCTTATGATCTGCCTGCCTTGGCTTCCCAAAGTGCTGGGATTACAGGTGTGAGCCACCGTGTCCAGCCCCAACTTTTCTTCTGCAGCTTCTCACCTTTTTCAGCCTTCATAGAATTGGAGTGTCAGGGTCTTGCTCTGGATTAGACTTTGGCTTAAGGGAATGGTGTGGCTGGTTTGATCTTCTATCCAGACTACTGAGACTTTCTCCATTTTATCAATAAGGCTGTTTTGCTTTCTTCTCATTAATGTGTTCACTGGAGTAGCACTTTAAACTTCCTTCAACAACTTTTCCTTTGTATTCACAACTTGGCTAACTGGCCCAAGAGGCCTGTTGTGGCCTTCAATGTGCCTTCCTCACTAAGCTTAATCATTTGCAGCTTTTGGAATAGGGAGGCCCAAGGAGAAGGAGAGAGGCAGGGGAGTGGCCAGTGGGTGGAGAAGTCAGGACACACACAACATCTATTGATTAATTTCACTTATATAGGTGTGGTTCATGGTCCCCAAAACAATTACAACAGTAACATCAAAGATCACTGATCACAGATCACCATAACAGATATAATAATGATGAAAAGGTTTGAAATATTGTGAGAATTAGCAAAATTTGACTTAGAGACATGAAGTGAGCATGTATTGTTGGGAAAATGGCACCAGTAGACTTGCTCAGTGCAGGGTTGCCACAGACCTTCAATTTGTAAAATGCCCCATCTGTGAAGTACAATAAAGCAAATCACAATAAAATGAGGTATGTGTACATCTCAATGTATTTAAACATAGAAAAGGTACAGTAAAAATACAGTATTGTCATCTTAGGGCACCATCATTGTATATGTGGTCTGTCATCTACTGAAATGTCATTATGCATGACTTTATTGAAAATCATTGTAATATCTTTATTTTGGTAAATCTTTATTCGGTGTCTCATAAATCACATGCCCCTGCTTTCAAAAATACATAATCGAGGAAGGAAGCTGTCTTGGTCAAATATGCTGAATACTCAACCCCTTGGAGAGGCATGTAGTCATTAGGATGTTCAAGTCTCTGCGAAATTCTGTTTTGAAGACACCTATTTCTATGTTTAACACAGTTTCCACTCCTGCACCCTCCCCCCAACCCCCGCGCAACCTCCAAATTAAGTACCAGTCAGTCTCAGGGAGACTGAAGCTAGAACTCTCCTGATTGACCTATCTTTTTGATTGTGTAGTTATAGGATATTCCAAGATAAATGCACGAGTACTACCTTGACGGAATGTGATTTCTCAAGTCTTTCCAAGTATGGTGACCACACCTTGAGAGTCAGGGCTGAATTTGCAGATGAGCATTCAGACTGGGTAAACATCACCTTCTGTCCTGTGGATGACAGTAAGCCATTTTGTTTTCCCTTTTTTTGTAATGTCATCATCTTGCCTTGTTTTTTTCCACATTGGTTGGTCCATCAACAAGAATTCTCTGAGGGCCCACAAATGGATGCCCTTGCACAAGGAGCTTAAGGAATATAATAAAGAGAGTTGTATCCCTAAGAAATTCATGGGAGAGACAGAAAAAGATGGGCATATCATCAATGCAGCGATTAAATATAAATCTAACACCTTCAGTGCCTCAAGGATGTGCATATGTTGGGCCCGTGCTGTTAAGAAGTTCTGGAAGGATTCTTGTGGTGAATTTTCTGGAAGAAAGTCAGTATGGAATTATGACTTAAACAAAGAAATATAACATGATAGGCAAAAGAATGAAGGCAGGTGTAGAGATGGAAAATCTGATGCAGACAGCCAACTTGCCCAGAGCGAAGGACAGGGAGGGACAGAGCTGATGGCAGGTGGGTTGGATCAGACTGGTTGGTCAGCATCAAAAATTGTTCCCAGGTTAGGCGGAGATTGCAGTGAGCCTAGATCACGCCACTGCACTCCAGCCTGGGCAACAGAGCGAGACTTGGTCTCAAAAAAAAATTGTTCCCAGGTTAGATTTGGAGGGTCATGGTGACCACCAGAGCCCCTAAATATGAGATGAGCATATTTAGAATATCAGGAATTAAAAACTAATTAAACCATGTATTAGCAATTGAGAGAGTAAAGAAGATTAGAGGTTAAAAACCTGATTCACAAAATTCACATACAGCCCTTCAAAACTCACACAGAGAAAAGCACTAAAAGAATTGTTTCTGGCCAGGCACGGCGGCTCACATCTCCTAATCCCAACACTTTGGGAGGCTGAGATGGTGGATCACTTGAGCCCAGGAATTTTCTTCTTTTCTTTCTTTCTTTTTTTTTTTTTCTGATACAAAGTCTCGCTCTGACACCCAGGCTGAAGTGCAGTGGCGCGATCTCAGATCACTGCAAACTCTGCCTCCAGGGTTCAAGTGATTCTTGTGCCTCAGCCTCCTGAGTAACTGGGACTTCAAGTGCCTGCCACCATGCCCAGCTACATTTTTTTGTATTTTTAGTAGAGACAGGGTCTCACCATGTTGGCCAGGCTGGTCTTGAACTCCTGACCTTAAGTGATCCCACCGGCCTCAGCCTCCCAAAGTGCTGGGATTACAGGAGTGAACCACCACGCTTGGCCTTAAGCCTAGGAATTTAAGACCAGCCTGGGCAACATGGGGAAACCCTGCCTCTACAAAAAAAAAGAAAAGAAAAAGAAAAATAGCCAGGCATAGTGAAGTGTGCTTGTAGTCCCAGCTACTTGGGAGGCTGAGGTGGGAGAGTCACCTGAGCCTGGGAAGTCAAGGCTGCAGTGAGCCATTATCACACCACTGCACTGCAGCAGCCTGGGTGACCAGAGTGAGGTCTTGTCTCAAAAAAAGAACTGTCTCTATATGGGGAGGTTCTTCATGCCAGTCCCTGTTCTGGACCCCCATGACCCCTACAATTACATCCTCCCTGATAGAGAACGAGAGCTAGGATGCCTTTCTTCCCTCCCCCAATTCCATCCCAAGCCTGGGTAAAAACGTCTTACTTTTGGAACCATAAATTATCAAAGTTAGATTATTTTTTCTTTTTTATTTTATTTTTTTTCTTTTGAGACGGAGTCTGGCTCTGTCGCCCAGGCTGGAGTGCAATGGCCGGATCTCAGCTCACTGCAAGCTCCACCTCCCGGGTTCCCGCCATTCTCCTGCCTCAGCCTCCCGAGTAGCCGGGACTACAGGCACCCGCCACCTCGCCCGGCTAGTTTTTTTGTATTTTTTAGTAGAGATGGGGTTTGACCGTGTTAGCCAGGATGGTCTCGATCTCCTGACCTAGTGATCTGCCCGTCTCGGCCTCCCAAAGTGCTGGGATTACAGTAGATTCTCTTTTCTAACGGTACCTTTACAAAAACAAAGAAAAGATGAACAGAAAAGTAAGTTTCACAGTAGTTAAAAGTACAAGTTTTTGCCCCTATAATTGCTAACTGGCTTACCATGTCCTAACTTGTCCCAAATTCTGTTAGCTCCCATCCATGGAAGTTCCCTTTAGAACCTAGGTACAGCACAGTTAAGCAGGTTGTCAAAAGGTCATACAGGTCATGAGTGGCTGAGCAAGGATTCAGACCCAAGCTCTTGCATCTGTGCTCTTAGCAACTACTACCCAATATTGGAGATTTGCTTCTTGAAGTCTATATATTTTAGTTATAGGAAAGTGCTTCCAGGCATCACGCATAACCTATTTATACTTGCTTTGGCAAAGTCTTCCAACAAGTTTTCTTGTCTGGTTTTCAGACGAGCACTTTAGAATGGTAGAAGCAGGTCCATTAACAGCCCTGAAAAAGTAACAGCAACCAAAGAAGAATACAGGACATAACTCAAACACCATGATTGCCCGGAACCATTTATGAACCATTCTATAGTTATTATTGAGTACATCTGTGTAACAGCTGCATTCGGAGCACTGAAGCTACAACAATGAACGAGACAAAATCCTTGCCCTCATGGAGCATATATGTGCTAATCAGGAATACAGATGATAAATAAATAGATACATATTATATGATAGGTAGTGACTGTGGTTCTCAAGAAGACTGAAGCAAGGTAATAGGAGAGAAAGTAATGGGAGCTGCGCTTCTGCATAGAATGGTAAGATCCAGTTTCTCTGAGGAAATAGCATTTGAACAAAGACCCAAACGAAGTGAAGGAGCCAGCCACATGAATATCTAGTAAAAGTGCATTCAGGGCTGGGCACAGTGGCTCAAGCCTGTAATCCCAGCACTTTGGGAGGCCGAGACGGGTGGATCACGAGATCAGGAGATCGAGATCATCTTGGCTAACACGGTGAAACCCCATCTTTACTAAAAAAAATACAAAAAACTAGCCGGGCGTGATGGTGGGCGCCTGTAGTCCCAGCTACTCGGGAGGCTGAGGCAGGAGAATGGCGTGAACCTGGGAGGCAGAGCTTGCAGTGAGCTGAGATCCGGTCACTGCACTCCAGCCTGGGCGACAGAGCCAGACTCCGTCTCAAAAAAAAAAAAAAAAGAGCATTCAGAAGGGAAACAGCTTTAGACTTTGTTGGAAATATATATGGTTAATTATATATGTTAAACATGTAAAGGTGGCCACTAAAAATAATAGAGATGCCATCTGTAGCTTCCATCCTAACAAAGAAAATAAAATTTAAGCCAACAAAAAGCAGGAAAAAGAGACAGGAGGAGAAGACACCAAAAACATAAAATAGAAATTTAAAAAGAAATTATTATAGAAAATACAAAATAATATAGCTGGAATAATTCCAAATGTATCAGAAACCACAATAAACATAAGTGGACTAAACTTCATTAATAAAGACAAAGATTATCAGATTTTTTAAAAGCAGCTAAACCCAACTATCCTCCTTAGCCATGTCAATCAATGTCATGACAATGGTATATCAAAACAGTGTACTTCCGTGGACTAATTGCTCTGCATGGTTATGAAAAATTAATGTTGAAGTTTTTAAAATGTGATTTTTGATTGTCATTTTGCTTGTTCTTATGCTTAGCCATTATTGGACCCCCTGGAATGCAAGTAGAAGTACTTGCTGATTCTTTACATATGCGTTTCTTAGCCCCTAAAATTGAAAATGAATACGAAACTTGGACTATGAAGAATGTGTATAATTCATGGACTTATAATGTGCAATATTGGAAAAATGGTACTGATGAAAAGGTAAGCTTGGCTAATTGCATTTCAGAGATAGTAGGCTTTCATGTTCTTTGCAGAATCTTGCAAGGTGGCAGCACCTTATGGACTGGTCCTCTGTAAACCAAGAGCTCCCCAGACTAAGGGGTCTCTGGCTCAAGCTTCCCAGACCCCCAAGGGATATGTGTAGAGCAGACTTTCAGGACAAAGTCTGCACAGTGACAGCAGACCTTTCCCTCCCTGAAGGGCAGTTGCAGGGGAAGGCACAGTTGAATCAGAGTTGGCTGAGGAAACTTGGAGCTGGGTGAATTAGGTGATCAGCAAATTGACAACTGTCTCATGACATCAACCCCTGTGTCCCACACACACCACAAATCAGGGACGTTCATGGTCAAGACAGCCCCTTGTTGCTCTATTCTTCAGGGGACAATTCCTTTAAAAACATGGGCTTGGAGTCAAAAGATCTGATCGGAATATCACCCCTGCCACCATGTGCCATTGGTCACATTCTTGACCCCAGCCTCCTCAAGTATGCAAAATGGGCACAGTAACTTACTTTATTAATAAAACAAGGATAATCACCTACTTCATAAGATTGTTGGGGAATTTAATGAAATAATAGAAAATATAAACTCATCCCATTGCCTAGAACGATGTATATATGGTCAGTACATCAGTGCGTGAGTTTTCCTTCCTCTTTGCTAGACATGTTAAGGTTATTTTTATTCATCCTTGGTCAAGGTTTATTCTGATACCTAATGCTTCTGAGCTGAGTGCCATTCATGGTCCTAAACTGATATATATGGTTATATATGTCATATTACATATAGGTTATCTCTTCCACATTAAATGTTGATTTTACCACTTAATTCTCAAAGTGTTTGGGAAGAAGGGATCACCCATGTTTATTATCTTAGGAATGATGTAAATTTATATACACACACTGCATAGCCCAAAAAATCTCAAGTTAATTTTTTTCCCCAAAAAATGTTCCATTAAATGATGCAGTTTCTTAGTCCATTCCTGCTGCCACAACAAAATACCACAAACTGGGTAACTTATAAACAATAGAAATTTATTTCTCACAGTTCTGCAGGCTGGGAAGTCCAAGATCAAGGCACCAGCAGATTCGGTGTCTGGTGAGCACCGGTGTGCTCTGCCTTCTAGATGGTGGAAGGCAAAGGGCAAGGATGTAAACAGCTCCCTTGCTGCTCTCTTCTAAGGTCACCAATGGCATTCAGGAAGGCTCTACCCTCATTATTTAATCACTTCTGAAAGCCTCCACCTCTGAGTCCTATCATATTGACAGTTACGTTTCATTTGAATTCTGATACTCACAATCACTGATCAAATGCAGGCATCTCTGCTAAGCCCTGGGGTATAAAGATAAGAGCAGATCGTGCGCGGGAGCTAGCAACAGACCTCAATTAAGGATCTGGTTTCACAGTAAGCAGGGTCAGGTGCCTCCTGAAGCAAGTGTGAATGCAAACTCCACTTACTGTTTAGCTTCTTTTCTCACACATGCCCACAACACGGGCATCTGGTTACACATTTGTCCTCTCCCTTTGGCCAGTTGTGTGGCAGCCTTCAGTGTGACTTACCGAGTGTGGAAAGGCTGCCTGCTGCACTGCTACTCTCACAGGTGCCTGTGATGCCACCAATACAGGTTTTTTTTGCGGGGGAGGGGGTTTGAGGTGGAGTCACACTCTGTCATTGCCCAGGTTGGAAAGCAGTGGTGCGATCTCAGCTCACTGCAACCTCCGCCTCCTGGGTTCAAGCGATTCTCCTGCCTCAGCCTCCCAAGTAGCTGCGATTACAGGTACCTGCCACCACACCCAGCTAATTTTTGTATCAACACAGGCTTATATGGTTCCCCTCTAGAATGCAGAGATTCCTGAGGCGGTGCCAGACTAGGTCCCTAAACTCACAGCATGAAGCGCTTTTGGGAATTCTTTCTTCCTGTTGGGAGAAAGTGAGAAGATAAAACCAGAAGTTGCCCAGATGTGAAAGGGCAGGAAAAGCCCCAGTGGGGTGGCATACTGCTATGCCACCACCTTACCTGCTTGCCTCTGAGTTTAATCTTTGAAAAAAATTTGCATTGTAAGGTTTGAGAGGCACTGGACTTCTGGAACTGCAAGCCGCCATTTTTTTCACTTGTTGCTTTGATTTGCTTTTGTCTTTTAATTTACTTATTAGAAGTTAAACCATTTTCTTCATATATTCCATGAGTCTAATCCAATTATTGACCTCCATGGGCTTAGCTCCTCATGCAATGAAGGAATATAGGCATGCTGTCAACAACCCCAACCCCAAAAGAGAAATAACCAATTGCAGCTGAGTGCAGTGGCTCACACCTGTAATCCCAGCACTTTGGGAGGCCAAGGTGGGCAGGTCACCTGAGGTCAGGAGTTCAAGACAAGCCTGGCCAACATGGCAAAACCCCATCTTTACAAAAATACAAAAAAAAAAAAAAAATAGCTGGGTGTGGTGGTGCGCACCTGTATTCTCAGCCTACTTGGGAGGCTGGGGCAGGAGAATTGCTTGAGCCTGGGTGCAGAGGTTGCAGTGAGCCACGATAGCGCCACTGCACTCCAGCCTGGATGACAAGAGTGAAACTCTGTCTCAAAAAATAATAATAATAATATTTAAAAGACTGGTTTATCTTATTTATTTATTTATTTATTTCTGAGACAGAGTCTCGCTCTGTTACCCAGACTGGAGTGCAGTGTGGCAGGATCCTGGCTCACTGCAACTTCCACCTCCCAAGTTCAAGCAATTCTCATACGCCACCATGCCCAGATAATTTTTTGCATCTTTAGTAGAGATGGGGTTTTGCCATGCTGGCTAGGCTGGTCTTAAACTCCTCTGTCTCCCAAAGTGCTGTGATTACAGGCATGAGCCAACACACCCGGCCTGCTTTATCTTTTTTAAAAAAGAAGTGATGGCTTGTGTGTCATTTAAGCTAGAGAATTCAGGAACCGAGATGGTTTGTGGGCATCACCGTCAGTCCTTGATGCACCCTTGAGTGGCCTCAGGGTCCCTGAACTGAGAGGAGTACCTGCTACCTGGTCCTTCCTATTTTAAGTCTAAAACAGCTATTATAACTGGTAAATGTGAAAAAGAAAAAAAAAAAGTGGTGTCCGTTCACTGCTTAGTCATGTTCTTATTTTTGTCTCCATTACTAGTTTCAGATTACTCCTCAGTATGACTTTGAGGTCCTCAGAAACCTGGAGCCATGGACAACTTATTGTGTTCAAGTTCAAGGGTTTCTTCCTGATCGGAACAAAACTGGGGAATGGAGTGAGCCTGTCTGTGAGAAAACAACCAGTGACGGTGAGTCCTGAGATGCGCCTCCGCTAAGCATCCTAAACAGCTTTGTAGACACCTGCCCTAGACATGATTGCATCCAACTCAAACTCCAGCTCAGTTGAGAAATCTATCACCCTGACATTGTCTCTCAGCCCTGACTCATCAGCTTCATGCTGGGAAGGAGACCACGCCCACTTCTGAGGCAGCTCATCCACTCAGATCAAAGGAGTTGCTAGAAACCTTTTCTGTCCCATGGAGCGAGGTCTGCCTCCATGGGCCCTCCTTGGCAGTACTTATTCTGCCATCCCGGGCTCCCTAAAGCAAGGCCCATCAGTCCTCCCAAGACCACCAACAGAGCTCGAGCCCTGTCACATACCCCAGAGCTCTTTCCTTCCCAGGAGGCACATCTCCAGCCCCTGCCGACACGTGATGGGAAGCAAGTGTCAGGAAATCTGACCGCCGTCCTCAGCCAGTGCTGCCTGATTCAGGGCCCCTTGTATGTAGGGAACCAGGACGTCAGCACAGTCCTTCACACCATATGGACCACTTCTAGCTTGGAGGAAGCAACGGGAGAAGGAAAGAGAGAAGGTTCCCATGGGCCTAAACACAGAATATTTATGTGCAGACACATTGCAGTTGCATGTTGGTGAAAACTGTGGCCCGGGTGTCTGCATACAAACAGCAGGCCTTCTTATAATTTAAAGATGTTGGTGAAGGGTTCAGCAAGCTTGGACAATGGACGGATGAAACATGGCATGCAGCATGCAGTTTGATAAAAAAGAAAAACATGTCTGCCGGACGTGGTGGCTCATGCCTGTAATCCCAACACTTTGAGAGGCCGAGGCAGGCGGATCACCTGAGGTCAGGAGTTTGAGACCAGCCTGGCCAACATGGCAAAACCCCGTCTCTACTAAAAATGCAAAAATTAGCTGGGCGTGGTGGCATACACCTGTAATCCCAGCTACTTGGGAGGCTGAGGCAGGCAAATTGTTTGAATCCAGGAGGCAGAGGCTGCAGTGAGCTGAGATCGTGCCACTGCACTCCAGCCTAAGCAACAAGAGTGAGACCCTGCCTCAAAAAAAAAAAAAAAAAACCATTTCAAATACCTTGCAAATACCAATAATCACCCATGAACTGACAAAATCCAAACATTTTATAAGACAAAAGGAAAAATATGAGCCATTGAAAACCTGCTTTCATCAAACACCATTTTCATTTTTTCTTAAAACACAGCTATCCCATTTAAATCCCACAAGTTTTCAATGAGAGCATTAGAAGGATCTTCTCCCATTTTACAAACTAGAACATGAAGGTTCGGAGAGTGATACAGTTTGGATGTTGCCCTCATCCAGACATCCAGATCTCATGTTGAAATGTAATCCCCAGTGCTGGAGGTGGCGCCTGGTAGGAGGTGATTGGATCATGGGGGCCTATTTCTCATGAATGGCTTAGCACCATCCTCTTGGTGCTGTCCTCATGATAGTGAGTGACTTCCTGTGAGATCTGGTGGTTTAAAAGGATGTGCCATCTTGCTGTCTCTTGCCCCCACTTAGCTTTCCACCATGATTGGGAACTTCCAGAGGCTTCCCCAGAAACAGATCCTGCTATGCTTCCTGTACAGCCTGCAGAATCATGAGCTAATTAAACCTCTTTTCTTTATAAATTACCCAGTTTTAGTTATTTGTTTGTTTATTTGTTTTTTGGATGGAGTCTCAGTCTGTTGCCTAGGCTGGAGTACAGTGGCACGATCTTGGCACAACCTCCACCTCCTGGGTTCAAGCAATTCTACTGCCTCAGCCTCCTGAGTAGCTGGGATTATAGGCGCCCACCACGATGCCCAGCTAATTTTTGTATTTTTAGTTGGGAATGGGGTTTCGCCATGTTGGCCAGGCTGGTCTCGAACTCCTGACCTCAAGTGATCCACCCACTTCAGCCTCCCAAAATGCTGGGGTTACAGGCATGAGCCACCACGCCCAGTCATCCAGTTTTAGTTATTTCTTTATAGCAGTGCAAAAACAGCCTGAAACAGGGAGGTTAAGTAACTTGCCCAAATGCTAGTAAATGAAAAGGATAAACCAGAACACAGGTTCATCTAAGCCCAGGTTATGTCCCCTGTAACTTAGTACCTATAGATTAATTCCAGAGGTGAACTGAGGCACCGTGTCTCTGGATAAAGCAGGAAGGAGTAGTCTGCCTCATGGCGTGGTCGGATGGATCTAAAACAAGTTAGAGAACTTTACACAGAGGGTGTAGATTGGTAGATTCTCCCACAGTTCACAACCCGTGCAGAGCAGGGTCCTCTCTCCTTCCCCTTCTGGAACTCTCCATCTGGGGTGAGGAACAAAAGCATTCCTCGAATCATGTCACCATCACCCAGATGTGTCCTTGTCTAAGATGCTAAGATGCCCCAGTCTGAGACACCCGGAGACCCAAGCACTGCCTCAGAGGTTCATTACTCAAAATAAAATGACAGGGCGGGGCCCACGGATCCCTGTTTGAATGAGTCTCCGGGCGCCAAATGAGAGAACTACTGAAGTATTAATGGAAGGATGGATGGATGAGTAGGAACATGGAACTTTCGCAAGACCCGGGGTGTCAAATCCCCAGGAGACCTCACGTGTTCAGCGGTGGTGCGGACTGGGGCTGCCGTATAGCCCTGTGATCACCAAGGGCAGACTCACATGTTTGAGTTGAACATGCTGGAAGTGTGGGCCAGAAGGCACCGCTTCTGAACGTTTAAGGAATGTCCACTGCGAGCCATGCACTGTGACAAGCACCATGTGGTGCCGGCAGATGACTGCACTTGCTGTAGCTCCAGGGTCATTGCTCTTTCAGGGCTCTTTGATGCCTGTGTCCCTTTAAAATGACATGCTCTTCACAGGCAGTGTTTGTTCTCTTAGCCCCTCTCAGAGCCAAATGCTCTGCTTATGAGGGCGGTGCTGGTTGGCAGGGGATGGGCACACAGAGATCAGGTGGCCGGGGCATCTGGAGGAGGGACCTGGGGCCGAACAAGGGGAGCTGGGACCACGAGCAACCCAGGCGACATCCCGGACTCTGTCAAAGATAAGCAAAGCAGGATGCTGGTGAAAGCGGTCAAAACATTTTATCCCGTAATGACTGGAGTAGGGAAAAGGGCTGAGTTCCATTTACTCAGAGGTGTTTTAAAGGGAGAACGAGGTCCGGGCGTGGTGGCTTATGCCTGTAATCCCAGCACTTTGGGAGGCTAAGGCAGGAGGATTGCTTGAGCCCAGGAGTTCAAGACCAGCCTGGCCAACATAGTGGAGCCCCCATCTCTATAAAATATTTTAAAAATTAGCTGGGCATGGTGACACATATCTGTAGTCCCAGCTACCCAGGAGGCTGAGGTGGGAGGATCACTTGAGCCCTGGAGGTCAAGGCTGCAGTGAGCCATGTTCGCACTACTGCACTCCAACCTGGACGACAGAACAAGACTCTATCTCAAAAATGAAAATAAATAAAAGGAGAATGAGGGAGTAGAAGGAAAGAGTGCGTGGGGAGTTGAGCAGAATCAGGGAAGTGAAAAAACTTTTAAATCAGCTGAGGGGGTGGGTCAGTGCCGTGAGGCCCTGTGTGTGTGTGAACCGAGGCTACGTTTATCAAGGCTGGGCTTCTACCCTCCCACAGAGACAGGGAGACAGAGGCCCTGTCCTTCCTGCTGATTTCAAAAGAATGGCTCTCAGATCGTGGAGAAAAATATCCCCAGGTTGTGGGAGATACGTATAAGTCCCAAAGGGACAGAGGAAGGATTCACCACTGTAAGCCCTTTTGAATAAATGCTCTCTGAAAGAGAGGTCAAGGCCTCTCCTCGGGAGCTGGGAAGAACAAATGGTCAGTTCCTTAGGCAGCCTTGGATTTTTCCAGACAGGAATTCAAGGGGGTTGGATCATCCCAGGTATGTGGCCTTGGCCTGCTGAAAGCTATGCTGGGGTTTGGCCAAGTCTCTTAGTGCAGGGGTTCGTTTGCTTGTTTGGGCTTTGGTTTTGGTTTTTGAGGCAGGGTTTCACTCTGTCGCCCAGGTTGGAGTGCAGTGGTACAATCATAGCTCACTGTCACAGCCTCGACCTCCCGGGCTCAAAAGACCCTCCCACCACAGCCTTTCAAATCGCTGGGACTACAGGTGTGTGCCATCATACCCAGCTAATTTTTTAAAAAACTTATTTTGTTGTAGAGAAGCGGTCTCACTATGTTGCCCAGACTGGTGTCAAACTCCTGGGCTCAAGTGATCCTCCCGCCTCGGCCTCCCAGAGTCCTGGGATTACAGGTATGAGCCACCACACCTGGCCTAGTGCAGGGGTTCAGATAGAGTTGTTCATTCAGAGAGTTTCTGTCTTTCTCAATATAGAATGAGATGGAGCCTGTGTTTAACTCAGGCTCACGTGTCCAGGGGAGTCTCACTTGCTCCGTCAAGGCAGAAGTGGTATATCCAGAGGCCCGTGGCTACACTGCCAGTAGGTACAGTGGATCAGAATTCTTGCTTGTTATTCTTTTGATGTATATCAGCAATAATTCCAGACACTAAACTTTGGAGAAGATAGGAAAAGGGTGAAACTCTTCGAAAACCTCTGGGTCCTCGAACCAGTTGCTGTGTTTCTGAGACATCTCCCAAGATGAACATACAGGCTCTGTTTTCAGGGATTGTAATGGTTAAAATGCTCTTGGGATCACCGTGACCCAACCTGTGACAAGAGTGTAACATACCCATTATCCCTGGCAGAGACGGTCCCCTCCTGGATGGTGGCCATCATCCTCATGGCCTCAGTCTTCGTGGTCTGCCTGGCACTCCTTGGCTGCTTCGCCTTGCTGTGGTGCATTTATAAGAAGACAAAGTACACCTTCTCCCCTGGGAATTCTCTTCCACAGCACCTGAAAGAGGTAGGTAGGGTGGAGAGAGATGCAGATTCGAAAACCTTGATTGGAAAGAGCTTTCCTTTCAAGTTAGGGCTGCCCAATTCCAGACATGTTTTCCAGGAGAAAACACACACACACACACACACACACACACACACACACACACACACACGTCTTTGTGTGCTTGTCCATTCTCTTGTAACCATTTCAGGGAAGTCTGAAGTCAAGGAACAGCCCCGAGGAAAGGGGCGCAGCTTTGTCCAGTGGCCCTCCCTACACCCTAGGGTGTCGTTCCTTCTCCAGCCTTCCCTGCCCAAAGCCCCAGGTCTCTGGGGAGCAAAGGTGATGGTTCTAGGGCAGGATAGGAAAAAGCAGCGCCTAGTGTGGAAAAAGGAAAACTCGAGGCTAAATGCCAGCAAATCGCCAGAGGGAGAGAATGGGAGGAAGGAAAGGCACATTTCTAGTTTTAGAATATGCGAGAGTGATTGAAATTCTGGGTAGTGTTTCCTGGTCTTTAAGAAGGCTATTTTTAAAAGGGTTAGGAGAAGAAACAATGCAACTGGCTAATGATAACAGGACTGAAGAAGCCCTAAGAAATGAAACTCTGGATAGTCACTGACACTTGAAAATGAAAAGATGCCAAGCCCAGACCCAAATGAACTCTCTTTGGTCCCATTTCCCAGGAAGCAGACTCTGAGATAGAGATTTGCTTTCAAAAGGCTGAATGGGGAACATCCTTGGGAATAATACGCTAAGGGAGTGAAGGTAGCCAGATGAGGCAGAGAGAGGTTGAACTGTCACACAGCCACAACAGAGGCCTCAGCCAATCCCATGTGACCTCTCGAGTGGGGGTGGCCCCTTAGAGATGTCCTAAGCTGAGGCAAGAGGGATGGGCATGTGAACTCCACAATGGCCATGTCCTGGATGTGGGCTACTCCCAGGAAGGGGCCCTAAGCTAGGGTGAGGGGTGAGACAGCAGCAGACAGGAGCTAGGAGCACGAGTACCTCCTTCCTGAAGGTACCACAGCATCCATTACAGTCACCCCTGGGACCACTTGGATAAACTGGAAGCAGCTCCTCCAGGATCTGAGTTGATCTCATTTCCTGGGGAAGGTTACAGGAGGAAGATGAGTGGAATGCATTCCAGCCCCCATTGCTGCTGCTGGTCTCAGGACCACAAAGGAACGCTTGTGGTTTGGCCTGTTCCTCTGCCGGCCCTGAGGGTCCGCTCTCCTCTCCTGGGAGGAGCCTGTGCTGTAGGGGCTGCTGACTTGATTGGGTGTCCCAGCCTTCATCCCGGAGAGGACTGAGCCTCTGGTCCCCAGGCCCATCTCAGGCAATGGCCTGCCCCTGCACTTGTCAACTTGCTGTCAAAATCGGGCAGGGGAGTCCCAGGAAGTGCCCAGTGACTCTGGCGGGTGCCCACTGTGATACAGTGGTGACTTCTCTTCTTGCCTGCCAGTCTCTTGGCCTGAGGAGGTGGCTTAAAGTTTATCGGCCCCTGTTTCGTGTCCTCTAGTAGAAATGCTCCCACTCTGGGAACCTTTTAGAACAGGTATGGCAAACTTTTTCTTAAAGGGCCAGGTAAAAAATATTTTAGAAGGCCAGGCACAGTGGCTCATGCCTGTAAGCCTAGCACTTTGGGAGGCCGAGGCGGGTGGATCACCTAAGAACAGGAGATGGAGACCATCCTGGCTAACATGGTGAAACCCTATCTCTACTGAAAATACAAAAAATTAGCCAGGCACAGTGGCGGGCACCTGTAGTCCCAGCTACTCGGGAGGCTGAGGCAGGAGAATCGCGTGAACCAGGGAGGCAGAGCTGGCAGTGAGCTGAGATTGCACCACTGCACTCCAGCCTGGGCGACAGAGCAAGACTCCATCTCAAAAAAACAAAAACAAACCAAAAAAAATACAAAAATTAGCCAAGCATGGTGGTGCATGCCTATAATCCCAGCTACTCGGGAGACTGAGGCAAGAGAATCGCTTGAACTCGGGAGGTAAAAGTTGCAGTGAACCCTCACACCACTGCACTCCACCCTGAGCAACAGAGCAAGACTCTGTCTCAAAATTAAAAATTTTTAAAAATTTATATATATATTTTAGGCTCTGTTGGCAAGAAATAAAAATCAAAGTTATATATTCACTTATATAACCACTTAAATGTAATCGTTGAAAAATCCTCAAGCCGTATGAAAACACAAGTGATAGGCCGGATCTGCCTCATGGGCCTTCATTTGCTGGTCCTGCCCTAGACCCACAGAGCCTCAAACCGCGAGGTCAGGGAGCAGCGGTTTCCCCAGTAGGTCACTGGGCATGAGGGTGAACAGGGCCACTCCTAGCCCCTGCTTGCTTCCGGACCCGGGCATTCCACCTGCTGGGGGCACAGCATCACGTGATGATTGTCGGTCCTGGGTGCGTGCCAGGTGCTGGAGGACAAGGCCCCGCTCTCAGCAGGTGTCACCTCGAAGCTGGCGCCTCCCCTGCCCTTTCAACAGGCCACTCCGTTCTTCTTTCAGGCTGGCAGCTGCTGGGTGGTGCAGGGTGTGATATGACCAGGGGGTCCCGCCTTCACTGTCAGTGGGCCCATTGGTCTGGCACCATGTGATACGGCCTCTCTATTAGTTTGTCAGGGCTGCTGTAGCAAAGTAGCACTTGTTGCGCAGTTAAACAATGGGAATTGATTCTTTCACAGTTCTCGAGGCCGGACGTCCAAAGTCAAGGTATCACTAGGGTGGGTTCCTCGGAGGCTGTGAGGGAGGATCTGTCCCAGGCCTCTCCCCTAACCTCTCAGGGTTGCTGGCAATCTTTGGCGTTCCTTGGCTTCCGGAGGCACCACCCAGTCTCTGCCTTGATCTTCACACAGACTTCTCCCTATGTGAGTGTCTGTGTCCACATTGCCCCCTCTTTACACAGACACCAGTCACGGGGGAGGCTCACCCTACTCCACTGTAGCCTCATTCTTACTTAACTGATCCCCTCTGCAGCAACCCTATCTCCAAATACAGTCACATTCTGAGGTAGAGGGATTACGACATACGAACTTCTTTTCTTGTTTTTTTGGAGACAGAGTCTCCCTCTGTCACCCAGGCTGGAATGGAGTGGCATGATTTCGGCTCACTGCAATCTCCGCCTCCTGGGTTCAAGTGATTCTCCTGCCTCAGCCTCCCAAGTTGCTGGGATTACAGGCACCCACCACCACACCCAGTGAATTTTTGTGTTTTCAGTAGAGACAGGGTTTCACCATATTGGCCAGGCTGGTCTCAAAGTCCTGATCTCAAGTGATCTGCCCGCCCTGGCCTCCCAAAGTGCTGGGATTACAGGCGTGAGCCGCCGCACCTGGCCCAGGGCATATGAATTTTGTGGGAATAGAATTCAACCCCTAAAAGGATCATCTACCAGGAGAGCAAACACCTGTGAGACCATAGTGGTCCTGACAGGCCCTGCAGGACACGAACAGCAAATCACTCCTAAACTAAAGGTCAGCTCCAGCCAGGATGCACCACTGCCCCTTCCAGAGTGATGCGAGAGAGTCGGTGTCATCAGCTTGCTACCAGCTGGCTGGTTGGTCTCCTCAGGGGATGCCTTCATATCGGGGGCTCAGCATTGATCTCTGTCGCAGGCAGGTTGGATATTCTGCAGCAGTGGTGGCTACGCGGCCATGGGTGTCGGAGCCCCTTCTCTCAGGCCCACGCACAGCCTCCATCCCTGCCACCACCACTGCTGTGTTCATGAGCCCTGTGCCACGTACAGGTGACCAGTGGCAGAGGCTGGCTGACATCCACTGGCTGTGTCATCATGTCTCCCTGGCCGTCTGCTGTCTATGACACATGCTCTCAGTGGGAGTTAATGTGGGACGCAGAAATCGCCACGCTGCAGCTACTCCCTCAGGTCCATCCTTCTTCCCAGACGTCCTTGTCCCTAACTTTCCAGTCTTCCTTCCCCAGAGCCCCTGACCACCAGCCTCATCACTAACCCCTGCCTGGGATCCCACAGCTGGCCTGATCTTGGGCTGCTTTTCTTTCCACGTAAAGGGGATGACCAGACCCACGGCCCAAAGCTCGGCCCGTGGGGAGGCTTTCTCCCTGGTTGGGGCTGAAGTGCAGTAGCGGGCCACTTTCAGTGTGTGCCCACGTACCATGCTAGCCTTGCCATGAAACCACGCCGGCCTTTCCTCCTTCTTCAGCTGGGCATAAGTACCCATCCCCTTGCAGTCATCATGTGAGCAGACACAGCCACTGTGCAACAGGGATACAGGGCACAGGAGTCCCAGCCACCCGCATGTGGCCGACATGCACCCTCTGACCCTATCTCAGGGCCTGCTGGGTCTCAGGCCTCATGATGGTCGCTTCTGGGCAGCACGATCACCTCACGTCCCTCGTCAGAAGCTCTGTCTCTGTCAGGTCCCCATAGCGTCCCAAGAGCTGCTTTTTCAAACAGGGTATAATTATCTGCTGCAGATGGCCCCGCCTGACCCCAGAACTCTCATATCTACGTTGTGATTTTGCTCTTGGGATTTGCCATAAACTCCACCCAGCATCTTTTCCCACCCCAGACACTTCAAGGATGTGCCAAGTCACACGTTCCCCGGGTTGGATTTGCAGGCCGTCCCTGGGGATAATGCACCAGTCCTGAGGTGTGCGTAGGACTGCAGGCTCCACGGCCCATACCTTCTGCAGGGCCCTTTCCTGCCCTGGGCCCCTCAGTGCTGACAGCCTCCTGTGTCGTGTGACAAACATATTGGAGCAGTCAGTATTCCTAGGCATGGAACATGCTGCCTCCAGAGCCCTGAGGCCTCCACAGCACAATGCTTCCTTCCTAGTGGTGGGAGGGGCGAGACACAATAATTGATCCTTTAAAGAGGATGTGCTGGCATGCCCCACTGCAAGGGTCCCCTCAAATTTCACGGATGTGGCAGGTCCCTGAATCTCTACAGGGTGAGTTTCTCACCCTCTGCAGTGTGTGTGCCTCACCAATGCCTTGCCACTTCCTGCATGTCTGGTCCCATTAATGTATTGTTGTGAT